GCGCCGCGTCAACCAATCAGAGAGACTCCACTGTGTGACGTAGCGACATATTTCCCGACGGGACAGTTTACTGAATGATGTCCACTAACCTGAAACAGACGGAGAGGAGCTCTTTAGCTGAAATCGAGTGCCTGCAGTCGGTGTCCTGACAGGAGATATCCACACCAATGCGTGGCAGCGACATCAGATTGGAAAAATAGTCCTGAAAGCGAGCTGTGAGCCTCTACTCTGAATTATCTGGTGAATTAATTATGAATTAATTATCTGATGAACGTGACATGCTCTTGCTCTCTGTAAATAAAGCAAAGCCACTTCCTTGTCTGACATTAAACAAAGCCCGACAGAGGAGGGAGGGGCGGCGAGGCTCTTGCCGTGCAGCGCTTCAAGAGCTGTCCTGCGTCTGACCTCAAAGTGCACGAGCGACCAACTTCAGCGTTGGATGCAATTTTGAAGCTGAAATCGCATTCGGTGTGAACGCACCACAAGACATGCCCTTGCAGCAGATCCGGTGGCACAGGTGCACGGCAGCCCTGCCTCTGTCATTGTGCTACAATGTAACTCAGCATCATCAGTGTGTAAATGTGTGTGTGAAAGGGTGAATGACTTTAGTGTAAAGCATGCTTTGGGGTCCCCATGGGACTTGATAAAGTGCTATATAAGTTCAGTCTATTTACCATTTACCAAAGTACAGGAAAAAACTTCAACATAGATATTTCACAATGGCAATGCAGAGCTTCAGACAGTTGCTTTATCGCCAAACAAACTTTCAAAAGTTACCAATTTCTGAAATAAAGTGCATGTTTGAAACCTGTCAGCTTCATGGCACAGGGTTTTCTTCATCTTTTTCACACTTTGACTTAGTCATACCCAGATATGATACTCTTAACAAAATAATCCTGAGTGTCTGTGGTAGAAAAGCTGGAGCTTAAAGTATGATAAACTTTCCAAGGTTCTTATCTATTTTTTATTATTTGATATTAGTTTAGATGAAGCCAAAAGTCTGAAATTGGAAAATTTGTGTTTTAAAGACATATGCCTTATACCTTCTGTGGAAGTTTCTGCGTGGTGGTATGCAATTAAATGCATTTCATTAGTAGTACCAGCACATAGTAGGAAAAAAAAAGAAGTTGGCTTAACCCATTCATTTAGAAGTAGCTAATTAGAGGAGCTGTCTGGGGAAAAGTGCCTCTTGGGGCCATTTGTACAGTATATATGTGTGTCTGTGGGTGGGTGTGTAGCAAGTTTTTCATAAGATAAATGAATGCAGCTTAACGGAGCAGTAAATACGCAAGGCTCACAAGGGTATTAGCACTCCTGCTCTCTTGATTTCTTGTGTAACTCTCTCTAACACACTTTCACTCTAATTAATCCTTTAACTTTGGCTGCCTGTCTTATTTCAGTTTATCAGATGGCCTCGGAGAGATTAATTCAAGATTTTAAGCAAATTTTCAACATAAATAAAACTAATTGTTTTAAGTAACTTCTTTTTCTCAAATAGTAGATCACATTTTTGACAAAGCATAGAATAAACACAAAACAACATTCAACTGATTATTAGAAGATGTCAAGTTAAGAGTTCATTTATGCAGAGATTACCTTGATCTCCATTAAACATGTTAACTTTTAAAGCGCCTGTGATGTCAATTTTTTTTAAAAATATGAAAGCATTTTTGACAATTAAGGAAATTTTGTGACTGATTGAGTTTAACATCCAGCCTTGTATTTCACACTTTGTGCAGCCATATGGTTTAAACAGAGAACGAGAGTCAGCAGTATCAGTATGAGGCCTTTCTGTCTGCATAAACAAAGTTGGTTATGTTCTAATATCTGATGTAAAAGGTACATTCTCCAGAGTGTGACCAGGAAGTCCGACATACTTTAGGAGGTTGATTCATTATTATTAATCATTGTGCAGTCTCTCCCTTAGATCAGCCTGGCACAGCTGCCAGCTTCTAGAGAGGGATTGTTCTTGTTTTTGTTCTGATAAGGCCAAGGCCTTTTCTTTCTCACAGCTGCTGCTGTGTGGCTATGGGTGTGATTGGAATTAGAGATTGAGAATAAAGCTTATAGAAGAGGATCAGTTAGTTTTCTGCTATTTTATTCAGACTTCCAATTTATTGATCATGATTTTCTTACAGAAAGATAACATTAATAACATATTGCAAACAAGTCATGCTGCTGAGATTAACAGTTGTTCATAAATTTGCACGTGAAGTAACAGGAAGTGATGTCAAAGGGGGATGTCTGCAGGTAAACAGAGCATTGCTACAACGGCTAGCAGCACAGACTGTAGAGAAGAATCAGATTTTCTTTGGATTATTTTTAATCATTATCAGAAAGATGGAAAAGAGCCAGAGTTCAAATGATATTGTTTTAAGAGTGAGTTTGTTTTCTTTAAAGATTGTGGGATACCGCACTTGCACCACTGAGTGGTGGAGGCAGCAATTGACAGCAGCTGCAGGCAATCTAGCTGATGAGCTCCAGGGCTTTAAAAGCTGACTGAAAGGATCAGATCCTCACTGGAATATATCAAACCATTTGGTATGGTTCTCAAGCTCCTTTAGTGTCTTTTTTAAAATTATTATTATCAGCTAACCTCACGTTTGTGTCTTATTCTTAGTAAGAAGCCTTGTGGATTTTCTCTGCCTGTTTACCACCAGCACCGTGAAATACTCACCTGGTACTGCACTCACCTTTTATCCTTTCCCTGCTCCCAATGCTCCAGAACCACCTCAAACCTGTAAGAAAGATGAACAAGAGTTATCATCACCTGCAAAACCTTGGAGCCAATATTAACTGCTCACCTTCTCCTATTCCAGATACTTCCTGTACCTGATTATTCATTTTGCAAATAAACTTCACCTACTTTTATTTTATTAATCTCCTAAGTCTATTTTCTTCCTGGCTACTCCTTCGATGACATACTCAGAGTTTATGATCATATGTTCCAGCCTCCAAAATGTCAAAGAGCTGTTCATAAAGTGATCAGACTTTATTAAAAGAACAACTTCACTCCAATGAGTCTCTTTTGCAGCAGATACTTCAGCAGCAGAAAATATCTGATGCTCACCTAACTGAGCTGAGAGGAATGGTACACACCATTAGTTTAAAATTAGCTGATACTGTACCCACTTCATTTCCAAAAGCCTCCAGAGCTTCCTCTGAGTACTCCTCAACACCCATGGCTCCCAGTAGTCACCTTTGAGAACCATTAGATCCTCAAAGTTCTTTGACGGTAACCATAACCACTTTGGTGGTTTTCTATTACAGTGTGAACTAGCCTTCAGTCGATCTCCATCCCTATTTCCATCCTCAGCATTGAAGACAACATTCATTGTATCTTTATGGTAACTAAATACATTTACTTCGTTACAGTACTTAAGTAGTTTTTTGAGGATTTGTAATTTTACCAACTATTTTTTGAAATAGCTACTTTTACTTTTGTTACATTTTAAAGCTAAAAATTATACTTTTACTTCTTTACTTTAAAATTTAACACTTGTTACAATATTAAAAATGTTTAAACTTATGAGTGTTGTTTATGAGTGTTGAATTTACTCAACAAAGTCATGTTAACCGGCTCCACTAAGCCCATTCGAGTAAATCGAGCAAAGAATATTCATATTTTGCTCAGTTTACTGAACCTGGCTTAGTGGAACCACTTTGGTTCAGTAAATTCAACAGTTTATTTCTGAGAGAGTGTGTACAAGTACTTTTACTTTTCCAGTTTTTGTCAACAGTTTTTTTACTAAAGTAGTTTTCTCATCAGTAAAATAAAAATTTACCAAAGTAATTTTCTGTTCATGCAATTTAACTTTTACTTAGTTATTTTTAAAGTACTCTATAAATCTCAGATTGCATCTGCACTAAAAGGTTCCACCCTTCGTTGGGCCCATGCCTATTTACATTCTCACCCTGTCACCACTTTAACCTTTCAACAATCTCTTCAGGATTTCAAACAGGTTTTCGAACACTCACTCCCTGCTCAAGCAAGGATGACAAATGAACCTAAGAGCTTGGGTAATTTAATCAACCTGTATCCACACTGATAGTTGTCTCAGAGAAAGACAAAACAAAAGAAACTAAAACACCCAGTGGCAATGCTCTTCTGCTTCAGCCCAGCCTCCACAACACCACCTGATCTGCTGAGCTCACCTGAACAATCATCTGAATCCGAACTCATGCAGATCCAATGAGCACGATTGATTCCGGAGGACAGAAAATGATGTTTTGAAGCCAAAAGTGTATTTTCTGTGGGCAGAAGGGGACATTTCATCACCAAGTATCCAAATCATTTAAAATATGGAGCTCATCAGTAAAGCAGAGAATATTTGGTGAGTCATGACTCCCGCTTGTGCTTACCTACTACCATCTCAGTCAACCAGATAAAATTACCCATCCCTGCCCTAATTGATTCTGGTACTGAACAAAATATGCTCTCCATGGATCTGGTCAAACAACTAAAAATACCTCACTGTGATGGGCCGAGTTGAAACAGGAGGAGTCGCAGGAATTATTAGAAAAATAGGGTTTTTATTTTAACCCAAAAACTTATACTTACAAAAACCAAAAAACTGAGCTCCTAAAATAGGCCAACATAACTAAATGAACTCAGGCAAAAATGTGACCAAACTAAATGTGTCATGAATTTAACCTGTCCCCTGCCAAGTCACAGCCATGTCCTCACTCATTGTTTCACCCCTCCCATCACAGAAATCCCAYTTTAGTTCATGTCATGCACCTGGTCCCCTCAGTATATATTCCCTCAGTCACCACCAGTCCAGTGCCAGATTTATGAACGGTTTACCTAGTTTTTCCAGCGATCCCATGTCTTGTCTGCCACGTTACAACCTTGTTTATGTCCTCTGGTTCCACGTCTCCTGCCTCGCCCCTGTCTGCCACCGTCTCGGATTCTGCCTTTCTGGTTTTGACCCTCGCTCTCGTTTTTGGATTCCTGCCTTTCGCCTCAGCCCCTATTGGATTTGCCCAGTCATCGGACCTCCGGATCTCGACCCCCACCTGTGTATCACGACCAAGAGTTAAGTCTGACCCTCTTAACCTGTCGCTGCAATCTGACCACATGGTTTTGACCCACGCCTGCCTCACGGATTCTCCTCAAGCCTGCGTACCACGCCGCAGCGCTAAACACGGAAGTGCCAGGAACCACCATCGCCTGAGACTCTCAAAGTCTTTCAAAGTTTCGGCTTCCAAGACTCCGGCACTAAAAAGGTTAGTGACTATTTTCTGCTCCAAAGCCCTGCCACTGACTTTGTTAGTCACTAACCTGATCATCTCTTGTTTAGACCTCCGTGTCCCGGTGACGTGTCGGTCCCGACTCTGCTGCTCCAGATTTAATAAAATCCTTAAATCGTCTCTGGTGTCTGAGCAATCAGTGAAACTCGCAAACCCCATCATTACAAAATGCATAACGTTGGTTATGTATTGTAACCCCAGATTCTATTGAGTGTAGGCACAGCCCTCTAAGGCTATCTGGGTATTCCTCGGTGCTCGCATGCTTTCTGAAAACCAAAAGGCCACGCCCACCTGCTGTGGGCACCACCTCGGTCTGCATAAAAGGTCGCTCAGCCCGGGATTCTGCTTCCATAGATTGTTCTTCAGCTATGGAAGCCGGTGAGGCCCTGATTCTTAGAGGGCTGCGCTTACACTCATAGAATCTGGGGTTACAATACATAACCAACATTCTATTTTGTGTAAGCTCCGCCCTCTAAGGCTATTGCTGATGGGTATAGAGATGTCAAGACCGGTCTCAAGTACTACAACACTACGTTCTTGCTCAATTTTTATTATGATTGGCTTATCTGGTCCAAGCTTCTTCACTTTCGGTTTCTCCTCATATGTTCTGCTTTGAAAAGGTTTAGATATAAGAGACTTATAGTGTTTTCTCCTTCGTTCCCATTTGTTGCTCTCCAAAACCCGCCTCCTGAAGCCCTGCCGGCTGCCGCATTAATATGTCGTCGACAGGGTGGACCCAGTACTAGAGGTCAGCTGCGGGGTGGTGATAAGCTGCGAACACAGGCCACGCTATTCTTTTGCATTGGGGACTTACTGCGCATGTCCAAAATCTTACAATGACTTGTCTATGGGACTCTGGGGCGCCGAATCGCTCGTGTCCCAGAAGTGACTCAACACGAAAAAGCTCATGAGTAAAATGGAAGTTTACACACTTATCAGAAAACATATATACAATATTTTTTTCGAAACATTTATAATGTTTTATTTAGTTTTTTTTTTTTTTGTGTACAAAAAACTAGTGGTGGGGCGGCCCCCTATTGACCAGCCACCACTGGCTGTGCACTTTGTTCCCGTATCCAAACTCCCCTCTTCATTTGAGGCAGCCCAACTCCTGGTCCAACACGCTTTCAGAATCCATGGCATCCCCACTGACATTGTGTCTGACCAAGGACAGAATTTCAAAGCTGCTCTCAGGTGTGTTGTTGACAATAACCCCTCCTCCTGGTGTAAACATTTGGTTTGGATAGAATACACCCACAAGACACTCAACTCCTCAGCCACAGACATCTCTCCCTTTGAAGCATCCTGGAGTTACTTGCCTCTTTTTCCTAATGTAGAAACCAACATTTTGGTTCCATCAGTACAACAGCACATCAGGGAATGGTGTTAGAGGACTACTACCACCAGCATCATGAAATACTCACCTGGCACTGTATTCATCTTGGGTCCTTGCCCTCCTCTCCATGCTCGAGAACCTCCTTGAACCTTAAGAAAGACAAACAAACATCATTTATCATCAAAATCTTGGAACCAGTATTAACTTCTCACTTCCTCCCGTTCTTGGACAGACCTGATTATTCACTTTGTAAATAAACTTCACCTACTTTATTTTCTAAATCTCTTGAGCCAGTTTCATTTGTGGCTGCTCCTTCACTGACATACTCCAAGTTTATGATAAAGAGTTCACGTTTGATGTAACTTTCTGTCACACTTTGACTGAGCCAAATTCAAAAGAGAATATACCAGTTACGTGACAAAATGGATGAATCTTTTGTATTATTCCAAGCTTCTTAAATATAAAGATGCTGTCTTTGAATTTTTGTATTTGAAGGATATGTATGATACAGGCACTTTAACCTTAATGTTGGGAAAGAGAGGAAAAAAATTAAAAATATTAAACAAATTTAAAAAGTACCCAGTTGTATTTACATTTGGTTAATCATTCGCGCGTCTCTTATTAGCCACCGGTGTTTAGTTTGTCTCCAGAACTTTTTAGAATTGATTTCCTCTCCCTCTGTTTGTCTCCGTCTGTCACACATGCCATCATTTATTTAACCACACTGCATCATTATCATCCATCCCTGTAGGTAAGGGTGGCAGACAGAGCGTGATGAACACAGGGAATAAAGTCATAAAACAATTTCAACCATTATGGATGATAACTTACATCTTTCTAAAGCAGACCTGTTCTAACCAACATAATGAAGAAAATGAATCAGGGAGAATTGTTTATAAGTGCTTGCATTCATTTTATCTTTCTACTCTGAAAGCTGCTGGTGGGCTGACAAAGAACCATGCAAATTAAAAATAAAACATTGTCAATATAACATCAGTTGTAAAGACAGGTGAAGTGGAAATTTAAAGGGAATGAAAACATGCAGTGGAAAATTAGATTTTGCTCTTCAAAGTGGCACACAGCTTTGTTTTAATTGTAGGAGAGAATGTCAACTATATTTATATTTCTATTAAACATATGACACCCAGAGAAGAGGGTGACACAATCACAACTCCAAAATCAAAACTAGAATAAAATGAAGGAAATTATAGCCTTTTTTCAGCAAGAGTTTTAGATCCAGAGCTTGAGATTTTTTTTTGTGTCTGTTCTATGACCTCAATCACAGTTTTCCAATTTACAGTGGTTTGCAAAAGTATTCATACCCCTTGAACTTTTCCATATTTTGTCACATTACAACCACAAACATAAATATATTTCACTGGAATTTAATGTGAAAGACCAACACAAAGTGGTATACAATTGTGAAGTGGAAGCAAAATTTTACATGAATCAAAACATTTTTTACAAATAAAAAACTGAAAAGTGCGACGTGCAAAAGTATTCAGCCCCCTTTTCCCTGAGTGCAACCAATTGCATTCAGAAGTTGCCTGATGACTGCTAATGACTCAAAAGGGTCCACCTGTGTGTAATCTAATCTCAGTACAAATACAGCTGCTCCGTGACGGCCTCAGATGTTGGTTAAGAGAATATTGGGGAGCAAACAGCATCATGAAGTCCAAAGAACACACCAGACAAGTTAGGAATATGGTTTTGGAGAAGTTTAAAGCAGGCTTAGGTTATAAAAAGATTTCCCAAGCTTTGAACATCTCACGGAGCACTGTTCAATCCATCATCCGGAAATGGAAAGAGTATGGCACCACAGTAAACCTGCCAAGACAAGGCCGTCCACCTAAACTTACAGGCCGAACAAGGAGATCACTGATCAGAGAGGCAGCCAAGAGGCCCATGGTGACTCTGGATGAAATGCAGAGAGCCACAGCTCAGGTGGGGGAAACTGTCCACAGGACAACAATTAGTCGTGCACTACACAAATGTGGTCTTTATGGAAGAGTGGCAAGGAGAAAGCCGTTGTTAAAAGAAAACCATAAGAAGTCCCGTTTGCAGTTTGCCAGAAGCCATGTTGAGGACACAGCAAACATGTGGAAGAAGGTGCTTTGGTCAGACGAGACCAAAATTGAACTTTTTGGCCACAATGCAAAACGCTATGTGTGGCGGAGAAAGAACACTGCACATCACTCTGAAAACACCATCCCCACTGTCAAATATGGTGGTGGCAGCATCATGCTCTGGGGGTGCTTCTCTTCAGCAGGGACCGGGAAGTTGGTCAAAGTTGATGGGAAGATGGATGGAGCCAAATACAGGGCAATCTTGGAAGAAAACCTGTTGGAGTCAGCAAAAGATTTGAGACTGGGGCGGAGGTTCACCTTCCAGCAGGACAAGGACCCTAAACATAAAGCCAAAGCTACAATGGAGTGGTTTAAAAAAAAGAATATTCATGTGTTAGAATGGCCCAGTCAAAGTCCAGACCTAAACCCAATTGAGAATTTGTGGCAAGATCTCAAAACTGCTGTTCACAAACGCTCTCCATCCAATCTGACTGAGCTTGAGCTGTTTTGCAAGGAGGAATGGGCAAGAATTGCAGTCACTAGATGTGCAAAGCTGGTGGAGACATACCCTAAAAGACTTGCAGCTGTAATTGCAGCAAAAGGTGGCTCCACAAAGTATTGACTCAGGGGGGCTGAATAATTTTGCACATCGCACTTTTCAGTTTTTTATTTGTAAAAAATGTTTTGATTCATGTAAAATTTTGCTTCCACTTCACAATTGTATACCACTTTGTGTTGGTCTTTCACATTAAATTCCAGTGAAATATATTTATGT